CATTTTGTTGTAGTAAAAGCTACATTTGTGGTTTTAATTCTCTCTTCTCTCTTAAATCTCTTATTCATTTCCATCCTATAATTTCAATTAATATTGTATATGTGGAATTCGATACGAAGCACCGTCAATCAAATAGCCTTGCTTTTGACAATTTGTCTCTCATGTAAACATGATAATCTTTAGATTTGATTGATTGAGAATCAAGGGCCAATTCATTTAGGATAGGCGAAGGGCTTAACCCTAACGAGAATTGTTCGAGCTGCGCTAAAATTTCCAGGTTCATGTTTCACGACTTTTTTTCTCTCGTGTCTCCTAAACATTTTGATATTAAATTAGTGCAATTCGGACCTACGGTAGGGGTTTCAAATTACAATTATTGATCGCACATCAATCAAAATGTGTATTTTCTCTATTTGCGAGTGTGTTAGCCTATGGAAGAATCAAAGTAATTTCGTAATCAGTTGACATATGTCATTGTTAAGAAGGGTTGCACTCCTATTCCACTATGCGAGACCTATCTTGGGTTCTACCTACAAAAGGAAACATAAAATATTTTTATAAATAAGAAAAAATACAATGAAATACAAAGAAAATTTAAAACGATGTATATCATTTAATTTTTGTAAACATTATTATTGTTAATTCTCACATTCTATTTCCTGGACTATCCTAGAATGGTCAAACCATTATGATATGTTGATGATGAAAAACAATAGAAAACAAAGGAAATATAGCAAAGAAATACATACAAAAAAAATTGGGGGTGTTGTTGCTAATAAGTATGTATCTTTGAAGTTGAACTTCTCACCAAAATATATCAAACGACTAATTTTCCAACTATTTCACGCTGTAAAACTGCAAAATAGGTATGTTTTGAAAATTTTGCAAGAAATGTGCATATTACATATTTTTTTTTAAAAAGAAGCGAAATAATTTTTAAAAAATATTGTTGTTGTGTTGTTATGTTGTTCATTATACGTTATTAAATATGTCTACCAATTTTCATCTTCATATCGCCAACCATAACCGAGATCTTAGACTTAGGGGGTTCATAATGCCCCTCGACCCCCCCCCCCCCCTCTTCCCCGGTATTTAATAGAAACCCTTGAAATACCCCGACCTCATTAGGGTTAAAGGGACTAAGTAACATTGTTCAGATGAGAAAAAATGGTAAAGGTATAGTACCTGCAATGATAGATGTACAATTACAAATAATGTGAAGTTTGAGTGAAAACAGACCATTATTAATGATAAAAATTGGGAAAACTGTTCTGATCGATTCCTTAATTCTCCCAATTATATTATTACAATTTAATTACATTTTAGATGAATGTAAATCGTCACAAAGCAATGAATTGGCGATCCCATTCCAGACATTTAAGTGTTGAAAGATTTGTAAAAGCCTGTCTTAGGTCTCATTTTCATGGAAAAACGGTTGGGAAAATGATGGTTGGGAGAATTTACTGTTAGAGCGTGTCGCACAGTGACACCTTCAAAGAAAACCATAAGTATCTTTGTGGTCTGAGAATTTTTCAAGATTTTGTGCATTTAAGTAACATTTCATACACAAATTACACAACTTTTTCATCAACCTTCAGCAATGTTACCGAGTCACTAAAGGAGACATTCAATGAAAACTATTTACTTTTACGTGCTAAAAATGCAATATTGGGCCTATCTACTCTCGATAATGATTACGCTCACTAAAGGACACTTTTGTTTCATCAAAATATGAAAAGTGGAATAGTTTATTCATCGCTTTTATCTATCTGACCAGTTGAAGAGAACTCAAATAAATAAAATAAGACCAGATAGTACGATGTGTATTGTTACTTTATTCCAGGTATATGCTCGACGACTCTGTAAAAACGTTGAATCATCATCATGCCCTCAACGGTAAATACCATATACTTGAACATACAACACTTAGCGTCGTCATTATCACCATCAATGAGACATTGACAAGTATACACTGCAGTGTATCTAACAAGTTTATAATTTCTATTACTTACAATGGTATAAAATATACATTATTTATATACAAGTGGTTGTTTTCAGGACTATGGCTATTCAGGACAAAATTTCATAGTTACGATAAATATTCATGTTTTAAAAATATACAGTAAAATTCTTCCATGATATCAAGAAAGATTCAGTTTGATTTGATTAAAAAAAAACTCCTTTATCTCATGTTTGTTGTATGACACATGCTCTGACGACAATTATCCTATACTGACTGATTTGGGGGGTTAAAGTTCAAGCCAGGACAAAGAGACCCTATGGCTTATCCCCAATCTTCCCTTAATCCTACTTTTAAGACTCAAATGCAATCCTATCCTTAACATAGAGGTGACATGGTTTAGTGGATACATCACCAGAGTGTGGATCACATGGTTAATGGGTCGAGTACATTTGCCACTCTCCACCCTGGAGAAGGATTAGGTACCTGGGAGGAAGAAATTCCTTGAGGCGGTTCAGCTACAAATTGGAAATACTGTGATACTTTGTATTAAGCGCAGTAGTTTATTCACATAGGTAGTAGCTTCGCTATATGAATGGACATAGTCTTATTATATCTTCGACAAACTAAAGTCAGAATGTAGCAAAGAGTATATGTTGCAACATCCTTTACATTATAGACCTTTGCCATGATTATTCATGTCATATGCAATTATGCATTATAAGTAAGTAAGATATATAATACCTCTACATAAACCTTTTGTTTCTTTGAGTTCATCAAAGAGGTGAGTTTTGTCAAGGATCCATTAAAACAATAGCTATAATATTGGTCCATGAAAAGTCGAGAAGTATATTCATAATGGTCTCCGAAAATATGTAAGCCTAACTATAAGCACCCAACTAATACACATCTTCACATGTGACAGATAATTACATGTACTAGTAATCCTATAGTAGTTTAAGTGTCTCAGATTCTGAAACGAAATCCTGGATTTAGCTCATGCTGCAATCATAATTATAAATCTTTAGGTCAGTCAGAAATCCCATGACTTTTACAGGCCGATCACCTGTCTGATTTTCAAGATATTTACGATTGGAATTAGAAATTTCAAAAACCGTTTTTCCAACGTTTTTTTATAACACTCGGTTTATTAGGTAAAATGAGTATGGTAAAACCGGTCACTCAAAGATTTTTACTTTTTTTTTCAGGGCTTCAATATTACACCTTATCAAAGACACTGATAACACGTACATTGTAGGGTCATGCATCTAAGATTTGTGAAACTGGAAACATTGTTAAAATGCCTTTAAGGAATCAATCAAGAAATTTCAGATATAACAGCTTGGTGGACAAGAGAAACATGATTCACAGCATTTGTCTTAATTTTCCTACATTACATACACTCTACTCGTGCCTCTCTCTGCTCAGCTTGAAAAAAAGCTCAATTCTATTATTTCTGCACAATTCATGCAAGACCACAGCTATTTGTGGTATTCCCACTGATCTTCGGAATTATCAAAGAAGAAGCACAAAAAGGAGTAGAAGGTGCATTTGAAGAAAACAGTGAAAAAGGCTTTTTCTTAATACAATCATAAAAGCACATCCAAGTTTGTCTAAAAGCATAATTTCATTTTGCATAATTACATAAAACACAGAAACATTCCCCTACGTTCTAATAATATAAAACTTTAAAAAGTGAATCCAGAAAAAAATGGAGAAATGATTTTTTCAAAGTTGAAGACAGTTCTATACAATGCCGATGGGTTGGACCTCAGTATTTTATCTTCAACAGATTAAAAGGAGCATCTCTTGCTTAATCCTAATGGAGACCATGAATTGCACATATCTATGTGGATTAACAACAATCAAAAGGTAAGAAGGGAATACTGGTAGGTTTTACAGTTAACACCACAAGGTGCACTTTAAAAAATATAGTTTGCCCCACTTTGCAAGCAAAGCTTACATTGAAAGAAACACAAATATCCCTCCCCAATCCCCATCCCCTTAAAACTTTAAAGGGAACCTAAACCTTCATACTAAGTTACTTTTATTGTAAAGTTTAAGATATTTGAAAAATATCAGTGAAAATGTGAACAAAATCGGGCAAGGAATAAGGAAGTTAGAGTGTGTGTGTGTGTGTGTATTTGGTTTTTACAGACGTGTATCAATCAGATATGATTATTTACGTCTGGGGACCGACCTTTAACGTCACCATCCGAAAGACGTGACTCAGTTTCGAACCTGCGTCCTCGGCTGAATCAGTTTGTAACTTCCACTGTTAGCTGGATTACAGGCGCACGCCACAACGCCTAGTTAGAGCTTTTTTAAATGACTAGTCACTAGAGGGCAGTATTCAATTTGATGACATCATCTGTGGACAACTCTCCTTGCCTTTTGTACATCAAATTTCACAATTTTTTTGTTTTCTTTGTATTTATTTGTGTTCTTGATCTGACTTCATTAAATGTGAAGTAGAATATCATTTTGTATTCTATATCTTGCTTTCAGGGGTGTAGATTATCTCAATCACAAGAAAGAAGGAAAAACATGAAATTTGATGTACAAAAGGCATGGAGAGTTGTCCACAGATGATGTCATCAAATTGAATACCGCCCTCTAGTGACTAGTCATTTAAAAAAGCTCTAACTTCCTTATTCCTTGCCCGATTTTGTTCAAATTTTCACTGATATTTTTCAAATATCTTAAACTTTACAATAAAAATAATTTAGTATGAAGGTTTAGGTTCCCTTTAAAGAAGGACAGTATGACTTGTACTCAGCAGTCAGCATTGTCACTAAAACAAGGTTTGACACATTCAATACAGAGCAGGGCCCTGTTTCATGAAACTTGTTATCAATAACAAATGCAAACTATCTATTCCAAATGTGCTCTCAGCCAATCAAATGAAACAATTTCAGTAGCTTATAACAGTTATTCTAACTTCTTATTGATAACAATTTTTATGAAACAGGGCCCTGGGACCCGTTTCACAAGCCTTTTTTTTTTCAATGACAAATCTGCTGATAACCAATCAGGTTGTCATTTGTCACTGATTACAAGTTTTGTGAAACAGGGTCCTGATCTCTGTTATGAGTCACAAGATAAAAGAAAGTTCCGTAACGATTGATCTGTAGCAGCAAGATGAGTTTATGAAAGTACACGAAGTGAAAATTATCAGATTCAAACACGCTGTGGTCTTCTCCCTATGATTGAAAATTTAAGACCTCATGTTGTACACAACAAATGGGGTGAATACACACTGTCAGCATCAATTCAAATTATAGAAAGAAAAATGACTGTAATTTTGCTAATAATGAATATTTTGCCACTATACATGTAGATGTACTTCAGGCAAGTTTTCAACTATGATTTTACAAGTTTAGAGATTTTCATGATGCAAATCCCTGCAACACCCTTAAATGTTGAGTGCAATAGCCTCTTAAAATGCGGTCTTGCGATAACAATCACGCTATACTGATCCAAAGTTCATCATTGGTACAGGATATAATGAGCATCTTATACTAAGCAGTACTGTGTTCTTACATACATTTGCACTAGTACAGTACTGCTGGGTCTTCCTCACGAAGGTCCAAACTTAGGGCCCGCTCTAGCGATGATGATCACCCTATACTAAGCAGATCACTGTTCTTAGCGATTATGATCACCCTATACTCAGCAGATCACTGTTTTTAGCGATGATGATCACCCTATACTAAGCAGATCACTGTTCTTAGCGATGATGATCACCCTATACTCGGCAGATCACTGTTCTTGGCAATGATGATCACCCTATACTCAGCAGATATTCACTGTTCTTAGCAATGATGATCACCCTATACTCAGCAAATCACTGTTCTTAGCAAGGAAGATTACCCTATACTTAGCAGATCACTGTTCTTAGCGATGATGATCACCCTATACTCGGCAGATCACTGTTCTTAGCGATGATGATCACCCTATACTCAGCAGATATTCACTGTTCTTAGCAATGATGATCACCCTATACTCAGCAAATCACTGTTCTTAGCAAGGAAGATTACCCTATACTTAGCAGATCACTGTTCTTAGCGATGATGATCACCCTATACTTAGCAGATCACTGTTCTTAGCGATGATGATCACCCTACACTCAGCAGATCACTGTTCTTGGCGATGATGATCCCCCTATACTCAGCAGATCACTATTCTTAGCAAGGAAGATCACCCTATACTCAGCAGATCACTATTCTTAGCAATGATGATCACCCTATACTTTAATAGCAGATCACTGTTCTTAGCAAGGAAGATCACCCTATACTTAGCAGATCACTGTTCTTAGCGATGATGATCACCCTATACTTAGCAGATCACTGTTCTTAGCGTGATGATCACCCTATACTCAGCAGATCACTGTTCTTAAATACATCCTCTGCACTTAAATACTGCTGGATCTCTCTGACCAGGGTCTTTAGCTGGCCTAGGACCCTCCGTTGGCTCCGGTCGGTGGGGTACTTCTTCTCCCAGATGATCTTATCCAGGAGGTATTCTATCCAGAAGACATTGGTCTTGGGTTGGAAACCCTCCCATTGGTTGCTAAAAAGTGAAGATTAAGATTTATCATGAAGATAAACAAACACACCAAATAAAATGAAGAATAGTAAATTGTGAAATATGAATGAATAAATAAATAGACTATAATGATAAAGTTAATAAATATATGAACATGTATTCATACATAAAAAACCAACTTACAGGTTGTACGTGTATTTACTGAGCTTTGTGTTGTTAGACACAGAAATTTGAAGCGTGTCATAAAAAAGGCTGCCATTTGGCCGCCTCGTACCTGAGGCAAGGATTAGGATTAAAGCCCCCCTAAAGTGTTGGGAGCCTCAAAAATTTGATGGAAAAATTTCACTTAAATGTATCATAATGTGAAAGAGGATGTCATTTAAGACACATTTCTGCAAGGATTTTCAAAACCAATGTATTTGAAGTCAAATATTGATGAAAGAATACAAAATTTAGGTTTTATGCATACAACAAAAAACTAAAATTATGTATTCCTTTATCAGATTTGTCTTGAAACACATGTTTTTTGGGGAAATCTGTGCAGAACAGTGTCTTAAATGACATCCTCTTTCACATTATGATACAATTGAAGCAAAATTTTGCCATCAAATCTTTGGTGAATTCAGGGCTCCCAAAACGTTAGAGGGGCTTTAACCCTAATCCTAATCTTAAACCCCCGAGCATCTCTAACCCTAACCCCATATCTTTGATGAAATGAAACCTGGAGGAACTGTTGCAGGAGCACAAGTCACATCACCAACAAAGGTGTCGGGAGAACTTACTTGTTATGTTCTTTCATTGACCGGTAAACATCAAATTGTTTGTCGCCCTCTCCTGTAAAGAGAGTAGGGTCCTCAGCTAAATCACAGAACACGGTGCAGTCATCTGAGGGCAAAATTAAATGCAAAGATGAATATTTATGTTTTTCCACTCTTTGGAAAAACTACTGTATTATCATCTCTATATTTGAACATTCCTTTGAGTACATTTTATATGGATAGTTTTTGAAAATTACTGCATGTAAATTGAATAGAACATGTTGGTCATGAGGATTAAAACAAAATCAGTCAATAGTTTAATCACAAATACAAAAGACGGCACTATGCAAATGCCTATTATTATTATTATTAGATAACCTTTTCCGAACAATTAGTTATTTACCCTGAAGAAACTTTTAGTGAAAATGTGTCTGTTCATGTACGAGGAAATATCTATAATCTATGACAAAATCTAAGGGGTAAGCATGAACATATAATATAATGATGCAAATATACAAAATGATTATCAATGCAAACTGTTATGATGAGCTTTTAAAATGGCTATACTCTGACAAAAACCAGTATAAATAACAGGGATAGCGGTTGGTTTCACCCGGGAAGCCTAGAAAGAGACTACACATATTGGAGCCCTGTATGTGCTGTACAATATGAAGCATGAAATGGAGAGGTGTTAGAGCCTGACACCAAAGCTATGGCCTCAAATCTTCCATTCCTGAAACAGATTTGATTCTTTTTCTTAGTCTTCTTCCATTTGAGTACATCCCTCTTCACAGAGAATTGTCGTACTATACTGGGGTGTGCAGGTGGACCACTACACCAGGGTTTCCCCTACTCTTATACAAATAGTGCAGTGGGTTCTTAACGTGCAAAGGTAGTGACTCTACTCTACATGGGGCCTCCATTTGAAATCCTATCCGAGGGATGGGATTTATAAAAAATTAGAAATCAGAAACTGACTTGCCTTTCTGTAACCTTGACAGTGTGAAATCGATGATGCTGATGTGCAAACCTTGTGATTCTACCGAGATCACCTGACCATCCAGCATGAAGGTCACCTGATCATCGTCGGTGGCTCCGACTAACACGTTGCCCCAGTGCAGGTCACGGTGCTCAAACTCCAGCTCTCGCTCAGCCACCGCCAGCGCTACAGTCACCTGCCTTATCACACTGACTGCCTGGTGGATGTTCTCAAACTGTCAGAGAATTAAGCGTACATTGGAATTCATTGAATCATTTTCATCCTTGCCTTCATAATCAGTATTTTTTAATTATCAGATTAAAGGTAGCAGCCCTCATTTGCAGACCCGATATTTTAGCACATTTAAATTGACCCATGACCTTTCACCTCTTGACCCCAAAATTTAATCAGGTAATCTTTATATGGTCAAGCATACTCTCATCAAGTTTAACTATGATACCTTGATTTTTTCTTAAATTATTGCGTTCACAAGAATAATTACGGACGGACAGACGGACAACCCGAAAACATAAAGCCTCCGGTTACTCACTACGTGTGACGTAGGCATAAAAATGTATTACATAACATATTCATCCATCCACTCTAGAATGGGTATTTTACTACCTCAGTCACACCGACAAGACCAACACCAGACCGACACTAGACCAAACAAAACATCACAGAGGCTGTTCACACCGCAATGAGATAGCGCGGTCTATCGTAGCACCCCCTTTTTTCTAGCGCGCGCTAGACCGCGCTATCTCTCGTGGACCACCCCCAAGAGGTGCTCCAGTGGCACGCCGTTTTGGCTCGCCGTGGCTCGCTGTTGGGCGGACCGAAACGACGTTGTACCTTCCAAACCGCAGAGATAGCGCGGTCTAGCGCGCTCTATCTCTGCCGGTGTGAACAGCCTCACAGAACCCACAATGACCAAGAATCGGTTGTTTTGATTCCAAGTCATAATGAGCAATTACATAGTTTGCTGAAATCTAGGGGGTATAGGAGGTATAATTACAATATGAAGCACTTAAAAAAATAGTATTATTGCTATACAATACAAATGTGATTTTTTTTCTTCTTTTTTCTTCTTCATTTTTTCATTATTGTACTCGTGTCATTTTACAAAGTAAATGCCTTTCTGGCATTCAGCAGATGACATAATAGTGCTTTGGACCCTCTGATTTGTAGATAAAAAATTCTACATTTGCCACTCTCCACTCAGGTGTAGAAAATGGGTACCCAGTGCTTGAGGGCCTTAGTTATGGTAGCTCCTCTAAAGTTGGGGGTAATGATACGATTGCAGGGCCCTCGGGAGAACAGTATTAATACTGATGAGGCTACCCTGGGTAAACAAGACATACTATTATCATTGTTTTTATTATCATTCATTTTCTAACTACACTCTCCCGTTTATAGTTTCCATCATTTCATCAAAAGTGACAACGATGACAACAGCAAAAATATATAAATAGGCCTTTGCAGTACTTAGATATCTATCTGAAATGGCTATTCTAAGGCACACAATGAAATGAGTGTCATAGATGTGAGCCAAGCAATAATATGAACAAAAGTTTACTACTTGGACTTAAAGCCTATCTGCACTAGTTTGGCAAGGATGGATTAGATCATTAGACCTCCTTGCGTGGTCACTGGCAGGTGGTTATCTCATCAAATCGGCCCTCAATTAATATAAGAAAAAGGGGACCATGGGGGACCAATCAGGCAATGTTTGCTATATAGAGGGGGCAAGTAGCTACAAGAAGTGCAGTCCCGCTTCAAAAGTTTCTAATGATGTTGCAGTTCTCATCTCTACTTTTCAGTTGAGTGAATGTGTCATCAATTTATTAAACGTACCTCAAAGCTCTCTAGGTCTTTGCCTCCATCTGCAAACTCAAAGATGATGAAGAGCTGATCGCTAGGGAAGATATCTAAGAAAGAAACAAAAGAGACAAAGATAATGAGACATAGAAAGAGAGGCGTAAGGGGGGGGGGGGGGGAGAGAGAGAGAGAGAGAGGGAGAAAGAGAGACGACAGACAGCCAGAAAAAGGGGGAGGGCAAAGGATACAAATGACCATTCAGACATGCAGAAAGTACAATTCTTCTTTTATAATTGTTGTTGTTGTTGTTGAACGTGATCTCCCCTAGACTTTTCCACTCCAAACAGCCATGACTTTATTAGCTCAAATTTGATGTACCTTCTGATTTCAAATTAATAAATTTTCGAACATGTGGTGGAAATAGGTGCATACTCTGCTAATTATTTGCTTGTTACTGCTCTTCGTTTTAGTGTATTTCTTTTTCTATTTTTCCCCTTTTTTTCTGTATTGTACTTACTGCCATCTTAATTTTAATTGTGTACTTATCTCTACAGTATACATTTTCTGTCCCTGTCATTTTTTCAAGTCTCCCATGAACCTATTCTTTACAAGCTCGGCTTTTCTATAGGTTCCTGCACATTTCACAGTCTGTACTTTGGTCTGGGTTTCCTTTAAATGATATTAGTTGTCAAACAATTGTGATGACATGTAACTTTGTAGTTTGATTACCTTGTTAATTACTATAATCATTTTTTTTAAATTATGAAACAATATGTCTTTTATGTATATTTTGTTATCTGTATTATATTTGTGAAATATATGTGAAATGTGAAACCAATAAACTCAACTCAACTCAACTCAACAGAATAGCGACAGGTAAATATAAAAATCCTTAATCACAAGTAATGCCAAGACACTTTGAAACATACCTGAAAATATGAAATTTCATGGGGATATACTAGGCTGCAAAGTTTCATCAATTTTGACAGTTTATGGCTAAAATAGGGGGGGGGGGGCGGGAGACATCTAGAAAGGAAAGGTAACTCATAAAAACATTCGAAAACAAAAATTATAAAACAGAGGAACTAAAAGAGAAACATTCCTACCTGGTCTATCATTCTCTGAGCCTGAGGTCTTCCTTCTATCATACTTGTCCCATTCATCCAGAAGCTTCTTGGGGTACGACCCCTTGACACAAGACACATGGTTGACCCCGATGAAGTTTGTCGTCATGGTTTCCTCGCCTTCCCGAAGCATGCTGAGCTCCCTGCAGATCAGTAGACAATAGGCCATAGTTGTAATGTAATCAGATTTAATGCACAAATCTCCTTTAAAGGCCGTCTGAACTAGTTTGGTCAGAAGGGATTAAACCACCCAGCGAGGTCACTGACAGGTGGCTATCTCATCAACTCAGTTCTCAATTAACATAAGAAAAAGAGGATCATGGGGAACCAACAGGCACCGATTGAGGGTTTTCTATGTATAGGGAGCAAGTAGCTACAAGTTGTACAGTGGGGCTTTAAGTGCCTTGTTACAAATTATTTCATTCACCTGTTACAAATAATTGTATTTCAATACCGGTAGTCAGAATGGGAAATGTGTTGTTAGGTAGGACAAGCTGTATAATGTTTTTCCAACCTAGCATTTACTATTTTCAATATTTAACCTTTCAAAGTTTCTATTTGATGTTTTTAAAAAAACTTGATGACACGGAAGAGATTAAAGATCACCAGGTGTTTGAGATTTGACAGAAATGCAACAAATAAAAACAAAATCAAGTACAAGTATAGTTTACACAAATGGTTTACAAAGAACACCAAGCTTACACATTCTATTAAAATAAAAGTTTATCTATCCGTATACAAATGATGCACACATTGCACAGGTTTGAGTGCGTCAGTAGGAATTGTGTGCACAAGGTACCTTTGAATGGTTTGAACCCACAAGGCAGATTGCAAGGATTCTTCTATCCATCTTATAAAATATATTACAAAACACATGCTACTAACCATGAAATAACAATTTCAGGGAGAATTTCCTCAAATGGCTTCTGATTTTCTTCATTCACTGGGAAATCCCCTTCTACAGGTATGATCTGAAAATAAAAGGATAAAGCAATAATATCTCCACAACAAACATGATAAAACTAAGAATAATGTACACATCAAAGTGTTTCTACATTCAGCATCAATGATGTAATAACCCTAAGTACAGCCAATGACTTGTTGTTGTTGGGTGTATTATTAGGACCTCTTCAATAAAATTGATTTCTAATCATGATTCTGAAATTTAAAATCATGCTTAAATATGCAATCTTGGTAAGATAAATTTTGTGTTTTGTAATTCAAGTTCGTAAATTGCGCTGACACTGAGAAAAAATCTCTTAATAAATGAAGTCCAAGAAATTTCCAGGGTAGATTCATTTTAATACAAGCTTCACTTACCTTAACTTAGCAATACTGGCATATTAGTATCATACAGATAAAACCAAAAACTCATGTGAATACCCAATGGCTTGTATGAAGTCAAAATCTTTAGCTAATAGCTATCCCTGGTATTCATAAAGAGAAAGACCAACCAAAACACATACCTTGATAAAATTATCAACCAATGACTTGTTGCTATGATGGAACTAAAGCCATCACCATAGACACCTCCTCCAATCTTGACCTATGGCCTATGGCATGCAGGCTCAGATTCCTCAGAAGGTGATGAAATCTTCCCTTCAAAAATTTTACTTCAAATATTTTATTCTCTTGAAAACAAAGAACTAATTTCCCGTGAGAGCAACCGGTGACTTTCTGCTGTTGATGGTCCAGAAGACCTGACTGTAAACTCCTTCGCCAATCTTGACACACTTCTTCATCATGGCCGATGGCATGCAGGCTCAGAAAGTGATGAAATCCTCCCTTCAACAATCTTACTTAAAATCTTTTGTGTTTCTAGAACTATTTACCTTGAGAGCAACAGATGACTTTCTGTTGTTGAATGTTCTGAAGACCTCACCGTAGACTCCTTCACCAATCTTGACACACTTCTTCATCATGGCCGATGGCATGCAGGCTGAGAAGGTGATGAAATCTTCCTGGTCACACTGGGCAAGCACCTTACATTTAGGAGACAGTAGCTTGCCTGTACTCCTGTTCCTGGTCGGTGTGAGGGCAACCTGAGCAGCGAAAAAAAAACACAGGACAGAGAATAACAGTGCAAGCTCGTCAATTTAAAATCTATAAATTAGTTCACCTTTTCATTGAGGGCATATGTGCATCAACCAGTCATGTAATGCCATGTGTGTAGTTGTACGTATGGTACTCATTGTAGACATTTTTCCCTCTAAAGTTTAAACAGCAAAAGATACTTGTTCCACATTTTGTAATGACAACGAATAATTTGACTACAAATGATATTTTTCAAAAGGATTTAAATTATACACAGAAGATAGAAATATATACATGTAAATGTGTACTATTTGTGTAATTAAATCATGCAAATCTATTCTGATGGTAAGAAAATAAGCTTTAAAATATAAATAAATATCAGTTACTTGTAGGTGGCTAAATGAGAATTTTGGCCAACTTTATATTCATTAGGCTCTTGTTTTCTATGCATTTACAGCAAAGCAATGCAACAAATAGTATGAACATTGCCATCATTCTAAGAACTTGTTCCACAAGGTTCAATTTTTCTGTTTGGCTCTTTGTAACACTTTTAATAATTGACTTTCTTTACTTTGTGTTATTTCAAATAATTACATGCAAAAATTCTGTCTCATGAATAGAGCACGTTGACCTGATCTTTATTCATACATTTTACAAAAACCTTCAGATAGATACTACCAAATTGAAAATGCTTTGTAATTCACCATTCTTGAAAGAAGAAAAAAACATACCTTGAAGCTATCAAGAGCAAGCCTGCTGATACTCTTGTTGACTAAATTTTTCTATTTGGCTCTTTGTAACTCTTTTAATAATTAACTTTTTTACTTTGTGTTATTTCAAATAATTACATGCCAAACATCTGTTTATCACTAGAGCATGTTTATTCATATATTTTACAAAAACCTTCAGATAGAAACTACCAAATTTGAAATTCTTTGCAAATCACCATTCTTGAAGAAATGAAGAAAAAAAAAATCATACCTTGAAGCTATCAAGAGCAAGCCTGCTGATACTCTTATTGACTAAAGGTGTCTTTATAGGGTTTGGTTCATCCAATATGGGATCATTCCTCTGTCGTAGGAAGGGTCGATGATTGTTTCTCGACCGGCACATAGATTCCTGTTCTGCAGACACATCGGCCGCATCGGACCAAATCCCAGAGCTAAGCGATATCCTCTCCAAAGAAACCAGACAAGAGCGGAGCCTGACCTCCGACTTTGAATCTAGACCCTGGTCCTGTTCAGGATCCTGTCCCAGATCCTGGTCCCCCTCCTCAAACAGGTCCATGGAACCATGACCAAGCTCCTCGATGGATTCGTTGGATATTTTGCTCAGCCTCACACTGCACTCACGAGTCCTACTCTTCTCATTACTTACATGAGAATCACCAATCGGCGACTGCTCGAGGTGGATAGCCGACAGACGAGAGGCAATGTCCGACACGTTTTCCTGTTGTTGCCTAGTCCTTAACCTTCTCGGTGCAAAGAGACAGGAATCATCATCACTGAAGCTCAAGATTTGGGGAACGACCACCCTCTGACGTTTTGTACGTCTACGTCCGTGCCCTCCCGGCGAGAACGGGACATCGCGCTTTGCTCTGCGTCGCGTGATGCAGCCTCTGTTATCGAGAGACTGACCAAGGCTACGTTGATGCGTTTCATACGGCGTACTGGTCTCCACCACCCCACTTCCCAGTTCCAAACCTTCCAATATCTCTACACTCAAGACAGGGCTGGTTACACTATCACCGCTGCTAGACGATGTCACTGTTTTCTTTTGTTCAGTAAGCTTGAAGATCAGATCAAACGATGAATCGGCTGGTTTTGCCGCTGCTTTCCCTCTTAATATCCTGCCTGTCTCCATTTTATTTTCATGGACATCATCACAATCCTCCTCCTCCTCTTCTGGGTCATCATCTTTGACTTTCCTATACTGCCGACTCAGTTTAGAGAACTGTCTGCCCTTTCCGGTTTTATTCCGTCTCGTCTTCCTTCCTTTGGATGAATCTGCTTTTCCACCATTATCCTTCAAGACATATTCCTGTAAGTGGAAAGCAAAATCAATCAATACAAAAATTAAAAAAGACAAATCATTGCACATGCATGATGCTCCTCTTCATTTTCTCATGAGTCTCCTCATCAACCAGAATATAGTAGTTTTTTTTCAGTGGTGATCTTTCAATTTTTAAACACTCTTTTGTCCAATAAATACAGAACGGATGTAAAAAGCCAAATTTTGAACTGTTGTCTTGGCAGTTAAACAAATGTATAAGGCAATGTATGAAACGCTGGTTTTATTTCCAATTACCATGTACATATATGATGGTATGACAAAGTGCCCATTTTTATCTGCTTTGATTCAAATTAACTTATTACAAGGGTTGGATTGCCCTTCAAACATCTCATTTTTATATCATATAAAGGTCTAGGCCTTCACAAACTGAGTGACTACCCAACGTTTGCCATGACCAAAACTCCTCTGCAGGCTATTTCTAACTGATATTGAATTTCAAACTTCAAGCCCAAATCTAACACTATACTTTACACTGTCACCCTAAACCTTATAAAACTCAAATTGCAATCCTAACCCTAAGTTTATATCTTTGACGAATTAAAGCCTTTGTACCATGAAGATATAAGCTCTTCTAGCAGTAGGGGTGCTGGTCCGAGAATAAGGATCGTCTGCATAAACAAGGATATCTTCCTTAACGCTGACAAATCCGAATCCTAAAAAAATAAGGATTGTCTGCATTTTTCTTCAGCGCTCTGCAGGTGTAGGGTTACCGATTCGCGCGCTGGCATGCTAAAAACGGATTCCGCATAATAAAATACCCTCATTTTACTGTCTACTTTTACAAGTTGTCGGTCTTCCCCAGGATTTATCATTCATAGCATGAAAGTCTCTGTGCTGCGTATGTGATACATGCATCATTCAGCATCATCGCAGAATTTGTTTTTTGCATCGCCAACATGCGAATCGGTAATAAGGATTGTCCGCGAAAATGCGGACGATCCTTATTTTTTAGGACGCGATTTGTCCTCCTTCACAAATATATACTCGTTTATGCGGACGATCCTTATTCTCGGACGAGCGCCCTAGGCCTACAGTACTTTCTAGAGGCTCCTGGAAGCTATTCCTGATGAAATTTCTGCTTTTTCCCCACATCAAATAATAAATATTGGCTTAGAAAATGTATGCTCTCCAATTAAAGACCTGTAAAGATGTTCCACCCCCCCCCCAACAGCCAATCAAAATCAATGGTAAGTTTTGTGCAACAGGGGCCAGTTCCATCTTACCTCAAGCACAGCAGTGGCTTTCTTTGCTGCTTTCCTCCGTGGTTTCTTTCCTTCATCAGTGACTGTAGGCAGAATGTTTTCCTTTTCAGACACACTACAAAGTAAATAAAATACAAAATAAATTTTATTTAACAAACACAAAACAAGGTGTAAACGGGCTCCATTCAAAATAATTTTGTTTTTTATATCAAATATTAATATGCCTATTAGAATATATGAAGTTTGGGGATTTAAAAAAAAAAAAAAAAAAATCATGTCAAGTTACTGTTTTTCAAAAGGATAACTATATGAACCATGATAATGATTGCAACAAAATTAAAAGGTGAAAGATTTATCTTTAAAAAAGTGAAAGAAAAGCATTTTCTTTGGCTAATCTTGATTGACTAGACAAGGCCATATCCATTTTTTTTAACATTCATTCTTTCTTCCTTTTTTTTTGGGGGGGGGGGTGGAGGGACATAAGAAAATTGTGCTAACTAGGTACATGCTTATTGAATTTTATTTCATACATCTAGTAAAAGAAATTTACACAAAAATGATGGAACAAATTGATCGTTAATCATGGCAACATACATATCAATATTAGTGTGATGGGGAAAGAATATTAATCTCACTGCCTGAATAAAGAGCAAGAATAAACAAGTTCCCAAATCTAAAATATCTGTCTCTGAAATTGAACTTAATTAGTTTGGCCATGGGTCTATTTCGGGTGTTTTCATGGGCTAATAGATTGCAGGCAGACTGGTGAAATAGGGTTAAAATTAGGTTTTTAGAATTAAGATTAGGTTAGGTTACGTAAAGAAATCAGAGAAAAGATACAAGAAAAATTATAAGAAAAATTACGATAACTTTCAGAATACCAAAGTCTGTTCTAGTTAGTAAAGAAACAAGAGCTTTCGGAATACCAACCCAGATTGGTAACCAGAGAGCAGACAGTAAAAGACACGAGGCCATTAACAGAAATATTCATGTTTAGCATCCCTGCTCGCTTCCTTTTTTTTTTACACTGCTAAAATGTTCTATTTCTGATTTTAAAAATTATTTTAAAACTGCCGTCGGCCATCTTGAAAAATAGCCTGACTGTCAGGGCAAATGTACCGAGCAGCCTTTGCGCGGCCATATCGAGGAAAAAAAAAAGAAAAGAAAAGGGCATCCTCCTTCCTATTTTTCAAAAAGGCAGGACGCTTAACATGTTTTGTTTATTATTTGGCCTAAAGAGTTAAGTCACATTCTTACTTTATCGCAAAGACATCAGATGAAGCGTTGGAGTCATTATCAGGTGAGCTAAAGACATTGGATATCTTGCGTCCTGCCGCAAGGTGTGGTGATGAGATCCAGTTGTCTTGTTTGATCGTCTTCTGCTTGAGGCGCCCGTAGGTCTTTACCACCCGACCATCAAAGGCCATGGTGCCTGCTATTAACTGTGCTGGCCTGCGTTGGCTCCTGTAAAGAATGAATATTTCATTTTTATTCTATGCAACCCACTTGGAAACGGTCACTCATTTTCATGATTTTGGTTACCGGTACTATTTTTATTTTTATTGACATTGATGGGCTATGAACATAACATGTGATTTCTAGTTGTAGAGAGATTGCTCATTAATTACACCTGGCTGCATGTTGACTTTCTAATTTATTATAAGTAGACTGTCACCCTAGGTTTATTAGAAGTATCATTTTTTATTTCTACAAAAGAGGAACTCAACTTCATATTATGAATCATAATAATAAATAATAATATGCAGAAGTTAGAACCAAGGTTAATTAAAGAAATTACCCTAAAACATTGAATTAGAGTCTATAGAGGGATTTTAGCCTTTGTTTGAAAACAAAGTGCTTAAGAGTTAACTGGTTAAGTGCGTAAACCAGGGGGCCATTTCATGAAACCAACTCCATGACAGTCATATCTATGTCCGCGACCTACAGAGATGTCATGAAGTGGATAAACCGTTTCACGAAGCCATGACAGACATGATATCGATATATCGTGATACTAGCAGCTCAAGAACATACATGTAGTCTTTGTCACGATCCATTTGATTTATCACGAATAACCCAAAACAAGTTTTGGGGCTAAAATAGTTCAAAAAGAAACATATACATTTTGACTCTCCTAAAATAAATAAAAAATAGTGTCATTATCAAATGTAGATCATCATACAATTTGCATATTTCTGTAAAGATTCTTAAATTGAAGAAAAAGCGGTGAGTGTTTTTTTCTCGACAATCCAATCAAAAGGTAGTTGAAGGATACCGTAATGTGATAGTTTATCAATACGTACTTTTTTGTTTATCGTGACGAGGAATTTTAGGCAAAATACCTTTTTGCACCAGTTTTTATTCTAGAGTCTCAAAAATACTTGTTATATAATTGATTTGATATTGAAAATATAATTTGGAAGAAGTAATTAGAGAAGGAATAATAATGCACATAGGCCCCAAAGGTATGATGGTATCCTAATAAAAGACTATGGATCAACTATGGACAACGGTGTGTAACATTCTTATCTCTTTTATTTATATGTTATAGTTTAATGATTTGTGATTTACTGTTTATATTCAGCTTTTTAAAATTTCTGTATAATTTGTACCATCACTTCTTTACATTTGCATTTCGCATCCCAGAGAATTACGTACCGAACTCGTCTATATTTTTCTCAAAATGATGATGAAAGTAATCATACATTTCGCAGCCCATGGAATAGCAACAAACTGACTTGTGATGGCGCTTTACAGCAATTAAAAAGATATGACGGGTTCGGAGCAGTGAAAACTCATTGTCGCGGAAGTTGTTGCTCATCTTGGCAAAGACAGCTTCGTGAAACACTTACATGTAGCTGACAAGTTGTGTGACAGTGTCGAGATGTCGTTGATCTTGTAGTTATGACGGTTTCGAGAAACGGCCCCCCGTACTTTGTACACTCCGGCATGATAGTATACAATTACAAATAACATACGGCCCAGCGTTTGTTAGTGGTGAATGCAGTGCACGCAAGGTTTCTTTAGATTGGTGCTGCCTAGCCTCTGTGCATGAGCTGCTTGCGGCGAGTTCACAGTGCACACCATCTGAAGAAACCTAGCGTACAATGCATTAACAATTTTTACGCACAACAGGGGTCAAGTAAAAAAAAAAAAAAAATAGCGACATGTGAAAATCAAAACAAACGAAAGTCCAGATCTAACTTTAGAGTAATCTAGGAGACTTATGTTGGTTCTAGAAAATGAAAAGATTAAGACCTTGCTACTTGCTCTATGAGTACGCTGCGCTGGATATCGATCTTTTAGCGTGCAATATCACTTTTGACAGCGCTCTTTTGGCATGATCGTGCATGCACCAAAATAGGTGCATGTCATGTAACCCGTTTTGGCCAATATCACGATGCTTAAAATACTAGAGCTATTTTATAATCAATACTAAAGTAATGCGTATTGAGTGCATAGGCCATAGCGTAGCTATATGTTCGTCAGACATAACTGCATTACTATCCTGGCCTAGTATTAAAAGCTGTGTTATTGATTCTCAACATTTCAAACACCAATGTCATTGCCTACAAAACTCAACTTATTTCACTCAAAATCGGTACAAGTTTAGTGACAATTGTTAAGCAGTAAAATATAATTTTTTCAACTTACAGTTATTGATGTTAAAAAGAATAATTTAAAAATTCAAATTGTAGGCCTAGATCTAGATCTAAATCTAGTGTCAAATTTGACGATCAGCCACATCGGGTCTAGTATTGTGTGCAGTCTGTGTAGACTATGCTATTTGTGACTATTATACCTGGGGCCCGTTCCTAAAAACCGTCATAAGTCTAACTTCTTGACTAAATCAGCGTTAGTGAGCTAGTTGTCCGCTACGTGTTTCACGAAGCCCTCTTTGCCAAGATCAACGACAACATCCTGACTAAGTAGTTATGACGCCTCTGACACCGTCATATCTCTAGCTGTCATAACTTTTTAGTCGATGGGCAGTGCCATCACATGTCATTTATTGGATAGACTATGGCTGGCAAAAAAGGTCAATACATCCTCCAACTATGATTTTTCTACACATTCACTTAAACAGTGAGTTATCGTTTTTTGTATTCGATAATCGTATGAAAATATGCCATATTTATATTTAAGGTATCGATTTCACGAGATACTAGCTAGTAAGCTCTTCGTGAAACAGTTTAGGAAGATCAGAGACATCTCCGTAGTTGGCGGATAAAGTTATGACTGTCTTGTCGTTGGTTTCAGCCCCAGCCTCTCAGCAAGTACGCAGTGCAGTGCTAGTACTAGTAGTATCTAGAACTTCAGAAGTCAATACGCATTTAGCATTGACTCTATCTATGCAGCGACATGCTAGACATGTCCCTGATCTATGCTTTCCTGGAGCCTGGAGTGCTTAAGAAGGCGAGGAGCGATAGCTCAGTCGGTAGATGCGCTAGTGCCCTAGCTTTGGTAAGGCATTAATCCTCATTACCAGGTCCCTCGGACAGTAGGGGCGCTGGTCCGAGAATAAGGATAGTGTTCATAAACGAAGATCGTCTTTGTAAACGCGGACCAATGCGTTCTCAAAAACAAGGATCGTCTGCAAAAAACAGATTCCAGGATGATTTTCTTGATGCATTTTACATCGACTTTTTTAATTGTACAGAGACCTTCACATTATTATGAGCAATAAATCCTTGGGGAGATGGACAACCCATAAAAGTAGATGGTCAACTAGATCTACTAGGGTTATTTTCCCCTGGGGAATCCAAATTTGGCATTGCCAGCGGGCGGTTCGGTAATGCGAAACCAGCAGAGCGCCAATGAAAAAAAACGTCCGCGAAAATGCAGACGATCCTTGCGGAGAGGCCCTTACTTTGACCTACTTAGCTTACCCTAAGTAAGTTGGCCAGCCGTCTGGTTGCTTACTTACAAGCATTTATACTTTCTTAGCAGTAAGGTAAAATAACTACCATTCATTCATTCAAGTTATGTTATGGTCCCCTCTCCCCTATCACTTACGACGCCTAAGCCGAAGGTCCGACGCCTTCGGCGCGCGCCGTCGGAGCTCCCTGGAGTTACCTCTCCCCCATCATACAACATGACATAGATCTACTACGCGTGGGACTACACAAACAGAGCTTTTAATTTTATTTATGAAAGCCTCCACAATCATGACCATTTACCAATAAATATAACATCGTCATCAAGATCAAACAAAGTATATCTAATTGCACAATTGTGAACAAATTCTAAACAAAAAAAATAAAGTGCTTACACAGAAAGATAGTAATTGAAGCGATGTTTCAGTTCCAGTGGTAAGTGTCGTTCAAAACATTTCAAATAAACCGGCAGAGTGGTTCTCAGTGTCCGTGATTGTGATTGGTCAAATTCATGAATTCAGTCTATTCACTATTTATATCGCAACCTTTTATTGGTTGAAAGGTTTGAAAGGGGGTGGGCATGGAAGAAATACCGATATATTTTATTCACTATTTTCAAAAATAGAGGTAAGGATACAGACCCAGCTCAGATAACTATCGTGGGATAACACTTTTAAGCTGTTTGGGAAAATTGTAATTTATTTCGAAAATGAATGCAACTGCAAGCTTGGAGAAGAACAGGTTGGGTTTCGTGCTGATCGAGTAGTGAAAAATATATATTTTTAGAATTTCTAAAAAAAATTCAAAAATTCCCACATTTGGACATTATTTTTGATGCTCTTTCGGAAAATGAAGGACAAATTGAGAAATTCTATTTTTAAATTAAAAAAAAAAAAATTATGATGTCACAGCTTCGGTACCCTATTCTACAACAGATCACATTTTGTTTTGAAATCCATGCTTGCCATTTATTAGTCTAAGCGGAAGAGGATTTATTGCGCTTTTATAGATATAGAAAAGCTTTTGATAAGCATTGATAGGGTTTCACTTTGACACAAATTATTGAGGTCAGGGGTGTATGGAAAGGTATTCTCAAGCAAAATCATATGTGGTATAGTAATGGTCAAATGTCTGAGGCTTTTCAATGTGATGTTATGTGCTGCTGCTCTTTGCTAGTATGGAAACATCCGGGGAAAACATATGCGATCCTAGATCCTACAATATTCAGTGATCGTTTTCGCTGTTGAAATAGAGTCTAAAGTGATGAAATTATAAATAATAAACTCTTTTCAATGTATAACTCCCTCTCAAGGTAAAGATACTAATTTAGCTATAAAACAATGTTCTTGACTAAATCCACCGATCTATTTGAAAATTGTATACTCATATTCTGAGATTTGCATGGCCGCAGGTATTGTATGGCCGAAGGCGCTATTTGAAATTATCGAAATTTACCGGCAGCACCGGTAAACTTTTCAAGATTCAAGATTCAAGATTTATTTATTTCTTTCCACTTGCATAAAAAAAGCATTTCATTCAAGAACAGTAGCATCAAGCAACAATGAAACAGTTATAAAGACTTGAAGACAGAAGAGCTTACAGACTGCCTAATATATAGAACAGTCTGAAGAATTCCAATACTTAATGAGATTTATTGTATTATTACCAACGCTCCTCCTCCTCCTTCTTCTCTCCCCTTTCCTTTTCTTCTCTGCAAGTCACTCTTTTTTATTTGTATTTGTATTGTTGTATCTAAATTGAGGGCTGCCGGCACGTCAAGCTACTTTGCTTATTACTGTAGCCCTCCTGCATCTAATGTATTAATTTCAATTCAATATATTTGTTTAAATTCAATATATGTGTTTAATATCGTTTATTATCTGTATAAAAATTATATACACTTGAAATATTGTATCAAGCCATATTATGTTCATGAAAATGTATGATGAAAAAAGAAAAAAGATGCAGAAACCAATAAATCAAATCAAATCAAATCAAATCAAATGGTCCAGTATGTGGAAGTGTATTAATCCTAAGCTGAGTTCTAGCTGATGATAAAATAAGGCAGAAGTGTTTTAGGAGCTAAATTTTCTAGTGCTTATTATATATCCACAGGGGTATCTAAATATTTCAAAATTGTAAAGAACTACTATATGTCAGCCAATTTTCAAAATTTCCCAAAATTATTGGCTTTTGACATTTGGACATTATTTTTGATGCTCTTTCGGAAAATGAAGGAAAAAATTGAGAAATTCTATTTTAAAAAAAAATAAAAAAATTATGATGTCACAGCTTCGATACCCTATTCTACAATATTTCAAAATTGTAAAAAATTACTATATGTCAGCCAATTTTCAAAATTTCCCAAAATTAATGATTTCGACGATTTTCTCAGTGATCATTTTAAAGGTCTCAAATTTTTGGTTGAAAACGTATGTGCTGACATTTTAGATAAAGATAAAACAATAGAGATCTTTTTATACAATTATATACATTGTACATTGTTGTATGCAGATGACCCTAATGTTGGCTAACACAGCAGAATAATTGCAAGTGGCTTCGAATGTCTCGGCTCAATCAATTTAGAAGTCAAGTGTTAATGCCTTGTTATGAAAACTAATTAAAGTACTTATATTTTCAAGAAGTAAAGTGCGTAAATTTCCAGTTTTCAGATTTAAGGAAAAGATGAAATTGATGTTGTGGATGATTTTGTATATCTTGAGGATTCGGTTAATTATAATGGAAGTTCTGATAAGGCATTTCAAAACAGGTATCACAGGCCAGGAAAGCCCTCTTTTCTATGTCATTAAAGGTTCAAAGACTCAAACTTCCGTTGGATATTCAATGTGAATTTGTGAATTGTTTGACCAATTTGTATTACCAATACTAATTTATGGATGTGAAGTGTGGGGATATGAAGATTGGAGTCAAATTGAAATATTTCATTAAAAAATTCTCAGGTAAGCGTTATGTAGGCCTACATAATTTACACCACTTATGTATAGAAACTGGGAGGGATGGTTAGTTAACAGTATCAAACATCGAATGGTTATGTTCTGGTTAGGAATAGTAAAAGATTCCCCCCTCTAAATATTCAGCAAATTTGTATTTTTTGGCAAAGGTAAAGTATTGCTTGGCTAAAGCAATAGGAAGGATTTAGCAATAGTAAGATACTGAGCACTCTAAAGTTGAGATTCAACGATATTTCAAAACAAGATGTGATGACAACAATTTGGTCAAACAGTGTATACCTGAATTATAGGACCTTTAAAAATTATTATATCTTTGAAAGTTATTTAGTTTTGCTGAGTAAAAAAAATAGAATAACATTGAGCCGCTTTGGATGTAGGTCACACCGGTTACCAATTAAAAATAACAGATTCAAATAAGCTTTAAATAAAATTAGATTCAAATAAGCTTTAAATAAAATTAGTATAGAATGCCCATATGTTGCGATATGCATGAATCTGGTGATAAATTCCATTACCTTTTTGTTTTCCCTTTTTTTCAGAAAGGAAAGAGAGTTATTTCGTTCGTAAAGAAGTAGTTAAATGCCCTTGCACATTACTCACGTTGAATTTATTTCTATGTTCCGGTATAGGACAGCTAAAGAAATTAGTATTCTTCATAATAAGAATAATGTCATATGTTGCTGTTCGAATGAATCTAAACAATCCAATCATATTAGGTCACCCATAAAAAGGAATGTTACAACCCGAAGTGGTCGGGCGTGCTGGAGGCAGTTTGGGATTGGGCAAACATTCCAGGGGGCTCACCTTGCAGGGGCAGTGGCGTAATGAGCAAAAACCTTTTCTTTTTCTTTTTTGAGGGGGGGGGGCAGAAGAGAAATTTGCATCACCACCACAGACTCTTACATGTAACATGCAGGCCCCGCGGAACGTTTTTTACAGTGGAGCATTAACCGATCGGGTAGATCGCAGCGAGTGGAGCGTACATTGTCGTGAGGTCCAGGAGGCAGAGCTCCCGGAAGCTCAGAGGTTTTAAGGTATTTAGTTACGGTCAGATGAGCATCCAGGGGCCGTCTTAGGACCCTAGCCCACGCTGCGTACAGTCATAATTCAGTGTCTAAGCAATGGCCTCGTTACTGTGAGGCCCCATGATCAAAACCGTGTTGATGTGATATATTACTTTTATTAGTGCCCTTTTGTGAGGCATTAATCTTCATTACTGTCAGTTATGACTTAAGGACGTAGATCCCCTAGTCAGTGGCGGATCCAGAGGGGGGGGGGGGGAGCCGGGGGCCCCGACCCCCACCCCCCCTGTGAAAAAAATGTGTATTTTTACCTTTTTTAACGTTAATTTTACCTTTTTGGGAGATGCCCCCCCCCCCCCTTGAGCGCTCAAGGGGGGGGGGGGTGCAATTTTTCAAATTTTCGAGGACCAACAAAAAAATTAGTGCTCACTTATTAATGACATGACAAACTTTGAAAACCTCAAGACAAATTGGCAACTCACTCATGAGTCTGTGACATCATTGTCTCACTATCTACTAATTGCTTGTTTTATATTGATAATATAAATTCCCCTTTTCCCCCTAAGAATCTTATATCCTCGTACCAGCATCCAAGTTATATTGATAGAAATATATTTTTGTGTGGATGCATAAATGTAGAGTAATTGTTTTCGGTTAATTCATGAAAAATTTGAATTTCAATAAACTATTTAAATAAAAATTATTAATTATGAATAGATCTATACAATATTAAGAAAACAGTATACATTCTTGAAAGTTCATAAAAGATTTAGTGAAATGTTATGCTCGTAATTATGATACAAATCATATAACCTTTGCAAAGGCATGGGGAAATCAAGATTTTAGTGGGGATAAAAAGGGAAATTGTTGAGATAAAGATATGTAAAGCAATTGATAAATAGTGAGGCAATGACGTCACAAACTGATAACCAAATTGGCAATTTGTGTAGTGAATTCCACTGTTCCACAGTTTTTCATACTTTTTCAAAAATTCACAACACCCTTATTAGTCATCCGATTTGACTCATTGTTTTGGCTCTGTTTCTCTTGTATTTCATTAAAATATTACAAATTAGGACGATTTGCCATTAGTATTTTAAAGAGCATTTGCTGAGTTTTGCTCTAAGATATATACCTGAAGTACGTCTCTGTTTGTTTGTTTTTTAAACCTAGGAAATTGGTCTGCGGGGCGTGGAGCTTCATGCATTGTAAGGTAATAGGTTAGTACAATTGATATACAAAATATATTGTACATTTCATATTTTACCATTTGTTTTTCGAATGTTCCATGTTGATATTGAAAAACAATGCTCCTAACATTTATTTGAAATTATAGTCAAGAACTTTTCAATACAAGAAGATATTAAAAAAAAAATCAGCTCAGTTTTTTCTGACAGGTTATCCCCAGGATATTGGTATCAATATGTCCTTTGTTAGCAGTTGCAATTTGGAAAACGATATTATTAGTTTGGAACACGTATGATTGTATTGAATGAGTGTTGAAAA